TTTCCCCCCTTCCTTATGCTGACCTCCCTGACCGGTACTGCTCTCTTCTGCTCTGTGCTGACCCCACCTGACCACTACTGTTCCTCTTCTGCCCTGCGCTGACCCCTCTGCCCCACGCTGACCCTCTTGCCCCATATTTCTCTCATCCCTGCCTTGCAGTGACCTCTTTACCTCTGTTGCTCTCCCCCATGCTTTTCATTGATTTCCCCCCCCTTCAGTAAGGACTGAACTGACCTTACCCCCACTTCCCACAGTGACCTGCTACTGCACTGACCTTGCTTCTTCCCCTTCAGCTCTGATGTCATTTTCTGGCCTCAACATCTGTCTTCCACAGCTTTCTCCTGCTGACTTTGCCTTCTCACCCCAGCGTTGACTTCACCCTCCAATTCACAGTGATTTCCCTGCTGTTGCATTAACTTTACTTCTGCTGCTGTGATCCATTTGCCACCATGAGAGCTTTGTTACTGCTGCTGCAGCCTCAAGGAACTTGTGTCCACTGCCATCACCACTGGCCTTACTCTTGCCTTACTCAAGGAACCTTGAAAGGTCATCGAGTCCAGTCCCCTGCCCTCATGGCAGGACCCAGTACCATCTAGACCATCCCTGATAGATGTCTATCTAACCTGCTCTTAAATATCTCCAGAGATGGAGATTCCACAACCTCCCTAGGCAACTTATTCCAGTGTTTAACCACCCTGACAGTTAGGAAGTTTTTACTAATGTCCAACCTAAACCTCCCTTGATGCAGTTTAAGCCCATTGTTCCCTTCATGCTCCTGCCACAGATGTCATACTGCCGCATGTACTGTCACTGACTCTATCTTAACATCACTTCAGACAAGCTTGGATCGCTATCAACATCTAATTTATAGCCCAACACTAGAGATGTAAAAGAGTAGTCGACTACCTGATAAGCCTGGGCTTGTCGAGTCGACCACTCGCAATTCAGTCCCCCCCACACTAGGCATACTCGACTAGTCGCTTCCCTCCCGCTGCCTCTGTATCAGAGGCAGCAAATATAGGGGGAAAACAGGAACTGGTTTAAAAGCTGGTTCACCCCAGCACCGTCTCTGCAGTGCGGGGGAGGGATGGACAGGGGAGGCAGAGGTGCAGCAGCTCTGTGCTTCTGCCTTTGAAATGTAATAAGAGCTGCTGGTGGCTCTTGCTACATTTCAAAGGCAGAGGCACAGTGAGGATAGCGAGTGCCCCCTTCCTCCTTATCAACTAATCATGTTGTCAATGGAAATTCCATCGAGTACTCGATTAGCTGATTAATTGAAATTTAACATCCCTACCCAACATCTAAATGTAATGACATTTCAATGTGTAATCAAATGTTGCCATGGTTCTTCTAATATTTGTTTTAAATAGAGTAAATTTATATGGTATTTTTCAAATAGAG